TAAAATGGCTAGCCATTTTAGACCCCCCCCCCTTAGGATGGGGTGATATATATATATATATACATGGTGCAGATGATGTTGCATATTCTGTTTCACATACATGTTGCAGCTGGTGTTTTCTAACATATGAACCTCAGACTGACCTCTGACCAGAGGAGCCAGGGATCGACTGACCGGAATTCGGCGGGACCTCGGGTTCGCCGTGGGGGCCAGGACTTGGAGGAGATTGCGGCTCCAACGTGCAACGAGGAAGGTGATGAGGATGAGTATGAGGAGGAGTAGGCTTCTGGTAGGGTGAGGTAGGCAGCTAGGCTGTGGAAGTTCGCGTGCTTTGATGCTGATTTGATCCGTCAGAGGGTGCGAAAGATAAGAGTTCATGCCTGCCAAACAGATGCCTTTAGAAAGCTACGTGCTTTTGCTAGAGCATGAGAGGAAAGGCCATTGACGTAACACTTGTAGAAGTGAGGTTGCAAAGACAAGAGGTCAACCAATGTTCAGAAGTGAGCTGAGATTTCAACCCATCATTTGGATCCTTTGGAAGAGACAAAGCCACTGACACAGAAGACAACGACTGGATCGGAAGCTTATCAGGAGTTCCATTCTGGGGTGTCAAGGCTCGAGGGTAGAGCTGGTAAGGGTGTGGTTTGGAGCATTCACTCACGTTCTATATGGTGACCAATAAGCATGTGGTGTTCTCTCCATTGTAGCCAATAAGCATGTGTGTTTTAATGGAAAGAACATATCACAATCATGATTGCTTCTGTATAAAACCCTGCTCACTGGATGGGTGTATTCTTCTCTTTCAGCTTAGCCGCTTGCCACCTTCCTGAACCTGAGACCAAAAAAGGACTTGGATTGGATGTTACTTTCAACAAAACCAATGTTACAAAAATACACGGGTAAACTATATAAAGACATTTAACATCTACAACTCCTTTCGACCGTCGATCCATCAGAACCAGGTCACCAAGGTGCCCTGAGTCCACTCACGATCCCCATCTGAAACCACTTCGAGTCAATGTTGATCCACATCCACGGCCTAAACTTTTAAGCAGCCATTTTCGGAGCGTGGTGGATCTTCGTCAGCCTCTTTGCTAGGCCCAAGGCCTGACAGAGGTTGGAGCACTCGTTGGAGTGCGTGTCGAAGCCACCCGCCGTGTTATCCCTGGACACACTGAAGGTGGTCCCGGTCATGTATTCGTGCCCCCAAATTGGGGCGCGAGTATTTTGCCTCCCCGGATATCTCTTCGAAGTTGCCGGTCCTAAGCTTGAACCAGTGCCCGCTGGGCGGTTTGGCTTGCTCAACAATTGATTTGGCTGGGTCTATTGATATCCCCGACCTCAGTTGTTTTGATTGGATGAGCCCAAGGCACTACTGTAAAGCCATGGAATCTATTGATATCTATTGCATGAGCTCGTTGATTCATCGGTGGTGTGCTACTTGGGTATGTTGGCACATGTTGGACTGGATCGTCCTTGACATGCTATGCTGTATAATATATCCCTACAGGTCAATGACCTCATTATAGTGGAGTTGGCCATACAAAAAAACACTACTCAAGGAGGTAAAAGACCGGGTTTTACTGAGTCTTGGGACTCGTAGGGTATTTTTATATTGGATTATGGTTGTATTATACATTGTGTCAAAGAAAGTGTACTATATTTGTGTGTGTGTGTGTGTCGCAAAGCTAAGTTGATGAACGTGTAAAGTAGACCACACAACCCATTGGTGGGGGGGATTCCCTAATACCAACCCCTACAAGTTCACAGCTGTCTTGGCGACGGAAGAGAGTGCGCCAGCGCACAAAGTAACAGGGCCTGAGATTCACTGCGGCGGGCGATGTCGGGGAGTTTTGGTTCGGCGGAGGCCACAGCCAGTGAGGCTGAACAGGCACCGATGGAGCGGTTCTCGGAAAAGCAGCGTCCAGCGTCGGTAGGGTATCCCACACACGAGCTGTTTGATTGAAAAGGAGGTGAAGACATATCGAGTCCCGTGGAGTGTTTGGGTATTGACCCAATGAATGTGGACGTTTGTCGATCTTTTGACGATATGTCAAACCAGTCGCTTGGCTGATCTGTGGGTAAACGGAGGATGGGGTGTGTGGGCTCCAGTGTCAGGAGGTTTCAGGGGGGTTGTTCAAAGCTGCGAGAGGAAGGACATGGGTATGGGTGACTGGCCAAGAAATCAGACATGGACAAACTGAAGACCAACTGAAGACCTTTTTGACTCTGAGTGATATTTTCTCAGAGTGCTACTTATGTTCGCTCGTGTAGTCGAAATAAGTGTCGAAATTACTGTGGTCATGCTCGGCTTTGGCAGGAATCTCTACTGGCCCTTGGGCACAAGCGGGCTGTTCATGCTATAGGGCCTAATTCGGGGGTTCGCTTGAGAGGAGTCCATGGGCTTCTTAGCCCTTCCTCTCAACGCGCAGTGAGCAGTTCCAGGAACGTGCAGTTCCACCGAGGATGTGGATTTGGGCGCCTGGCGTTGTATGACCTTGCCCTGGGCCATGGCACGACTGGTGGAGATGGGTCGGGATCCGAGAAACGGGACGAGAACGACCCCGACACGGAGAGACCCCTTTCCTGCAGGTACAACACCTGCAATCACCAATTCAATGGGTGCTAAACCCTTGTAGGTTGACCTCCTTACTAGTCTAGTCATGTCTCTGTTCATGTTTTGGTGGTCACCCAGGGGTATCAGCTTTGACCCATTGCCACATGTATTTTTACGTGGAAGGGATTTTTGGGTGGAACTCAGCAGCTTTGCAGCGATGCATCATTGTCTCATCACCACGAGCCAGATGCACAAGACGCTTCGGTTCGGCGAAGAAAGTTTGTTTTTGGGCACGGTGCTTTCCCCACCAGCCCAGATGGAAACGATTCGTTGACGCGACAAATGGGGGTCCTGCCTTGGGAAACTGCTTCGGATGGGTCGAATGGGGATGAACGAAGACGTTGAAGGAACCCGTCTGTGTTCTCGCTCACGAAGCCACGTGCAAAAAAGCCCAAGGAACCTGGAGAAGAGAAACAACATTTGAAGGACAATGAACATTGCTATTAGGTTGGAGGCCATTGCTAGTGGGTTGTGGGTTGCATTGTCCTAGAAGCGAATTGCGCAGGGGAGACTCAGATCACCCCAATCAGAGCCAGAACCCGTCAACCGGTCATCCGATGAGCTAACTCAGATGTGCCCAGAGAAGGGACACTCAACACGATCATTTGGTTGGCCAAGCAACTCAGGTATACAAGATAAACCTGGAAACCTCAACCAACAGAAACAAGCAACTCGGGTTCCACAAACAAGCACTTGTTGTGCAAAGAATCTAAATTGCCATACTTATGGAAATTGGAACAACCAATTGTTTCTGCTTGGGACTGGGTGTTTGGGTGCCAGAGACTTATGGGCAGCGCTCCACCAGACCCTACCACACCCAAATACCCAGCGCTCCACCCGAAACAAGACTGATGTAGATGTCAAATCTTGCTGCCATGTCCGACTCCTACCCAGCAGTTCAGTGGAGAAATGTGGGTTCAGATTGGGGGTTTGTTTCCCCACGAAACAGAAAAAAAAACAGGTGGAAGGTGGATTCGTGTCACGGGCCAGACCCTTTTCTGCCGGAGGTGATTTCCTGCTCGGGAGTGGTTTTCGGGGCTCTTTGGGAGATGCCCAGGTTCCAGCTTGGCACAGATGGGTGGCGAGTGCACCACCTCGCCGTGTTTTAGCCACCGCCAAGCAGCCGCCAAGCAGCGCCAGTGGATGCCGTTGGGATGTTGGGACGGAAAAATCATGAAAAGTCCATCCAAAACCGTAGAATCCTATATCAGAGAGCTGACAGATCAGCATAATGAGTTATAATTCATATACATCATACAAGCTTTTCAAGGGATTGTGGTGTAAGAGCTCTTGCTTTGCAGTACTTTTGTCCTGCCCTAAGAAGGGCAGACACCCAGACCCCATCGTTGTAGAAAAACATCGGCAATCGGTCCAAAATGCTTCGAACTATGGTGCCTGTCACTCGGTCCCTCGTTCGGCCTGGGGGCTACAGATCTGAGAATATCGACTCGTTGTTGGCCGACCGACCTAGACTTTGCTGGTTTTGCTGTCGGCTTACTGCTGTCGGCATCGACTCTGAAGGCTGTGATCCTTGCAGAAACTCCTAACAGGTTGCCTTTCTGCCTTGGTCGCATCCGGTCACATCCGGTCAGAATGGAAGGCTCCTGCTAAAGTGTGTGCCTTCGAACATGTGAAGTTCAACTTTGAAGAACTCACACCCAGCTGAAGCAATCATGCTTTGGAGCCAGTCCACTCAAGCATACTCAAAGGTGGTTCACTCAAAACCACACCTGAAAGAGGACTCCTGAAAGAACGTGTTTTGTGCCGACACGCCCCTCCGATGCTGTTCACGCAATCTCAGTGGCCATCAATGTATATCCCAGACGCTCCACGTATGCCATAGATGCCTACATTGACCAGCATATATATGGCATACATGGAACGTTTGGGCACATGGATGTCCATCATCCCAATGTACAGAAAGCGCCTCCTTGCATCCAAAGATTTGTTCGAGACGCAAACGGAGACAAATGCCTCCAGTTTTTGCCAAACAAGGCTCAACAGTTTGGGGGACCTGCTTTCAAGATGTTCTTGGGACCTTTCCACTGGATGTGTTTTGTTTGTTTAACACACCTTTTTCGACGTAAAAAAACGCCGTGCCTTGTTCAGGTCGTGGTGCGCAACGCGCTGCCGCGGCAGTTGGTCTTTGGACAGCCGGGCTGCGAGGCCATAGGACCCAGTGGCACCGGGGCAGATGGGTCACCCGGTGCACTTCAGGTCGCGCGAAGGCCGTGAACCCGCACGAAGAAGTGGTGAAGCACTCCATCAAAACCATTAGCACCGTCGTCACGGTTTTCTTTTTTTTCTGTGCACAGAACCAAAAGGAGGTCGAAAGTCAACATCAACTTTGACCTTCGTGTGCATCAAGCTCTGCCTTCATGCCCCAAGGACATGTTTAGAAAAAGGCTCTGTCTGACTGGCCGTGCTGCTGACGCTGCTTGAAATCAGGGAAGTGGAGGTCACTACCTCTTTGGCATTCAGATTTCATTGGAAATCGGGCCAATGCCATCCACTTCACCACGGCAGTGTGACTCAGGTGCTGGAGCTGCAGAGTGGGCAAAGCCGTGGCTACGCGGGGGGTACTTGGAGAGCGGAACTTGAAGCAATTTGCTGAAGAATTCGCTGAAGAATTCGCATGTCCATCGGTTCAGAAAAGTCAGCAAAGGACGTCCTTTGCTGACCTTGTTTCTTTCTGTTATCAAAAGCCATCCAAAGCCTCTGATGCATGCAACAAAAACACATACACCAATCGGTTTCAAGAGCCAGCAAAGGACTTTTCTGGCCCTGTTCGATTCTTGTCAAGAGCCAAAACCTGCGATTCCAGCTCCCGAGGCTTGGTACTACGAGCACCGGCAGCTTTCTTTCGGGCTGGACCA